TGCCACGCCCTATCACAAGAAGCTTTGGTGTCCTTTAAGCGTTGTCGGAGAGTTGTTAATGATGCATCAGCCCCTTCATAACCCTGTTGGTACCTGACTCTCAGATCCGTTTCTAATTTTAGCTTCTTGCTACTTTCAGCTGCTTGATCCTGTTCAAACTCCACCTTTCTTTTGTACTGACCACTCTCCACCTTTGCTTGGTGGACTTCATTCTGAAGGTCCTGGTTCTCCTTAGTCAATCTCTCCACTATTAGCTTCAGTTTTTCATATTCTTCTATGGACACATGAGTGGGAGCAGGAGGTGCTTCTTGCATAGAGGGCTCTAAGGGAAATGGTAACGACCTTTCAGCTACTCTAGCTAGTAACCACCGGTTGTATGGCTCCTTTGCCACGCAATTCTTCGCTTTTAACTCCTTCCTCCCCTTTGTATGAATCTTACCCCAAGCCTTAGCAATCTTCCTGACAAACGCAGGGTCCTCTGATGTGGCTAGCAAAAAGAAACTCTGAACCTTCTCTGCCTCGGGCTCGCCCTCCATAGCATAGCCCAACTGACGTAATGCCATGACTGGGTTATAGTTAATACAACCGGCCCTACCGATCAAAGGTACATTACTGAATTCTCCACAACTAAAAATGATTTCCACATCATAGTACTCAGGAGAGTACCAAGCAATATCACTAGCTTCCAGAGACATGATGCGTTGAGACCATTTTAATTTCTTCTTGTTTTCCATGAACGGCCCTTTCTTGGGCAAATGAGAAGCATACCACTTGTATAGTAGGTGAGAGCAGCATTGGATCATTCCCGCCTTCTTTTCACTCCTCCAATGAATAGAGTGATAAACATCGGCAAGGAGTGTAGGGATGGGATTCTTCTGCATGAAGAGAACGATGGCAGTGATGTCTATGAAATTGTCCACATTTGGAAAGAGGAAAATCCCATAAATCATTAGAGCAACGCTTATTCCGAACTTTTCCCAATCTTCATCCACCTTGTATTGAGCAGCCTTTTCTAGCAGAAATTTCAATGGAAAACCCTGAACACCCCCTTTACTGGTTAGACCCTCTTTGACTTCCTCTTTGGTCATACGTAGAGTAAGAGCAATGGCAGGAGGTTTTGGTTCTTCTTCCAATCCTGTGTATATAGGTTGATCCTTAATCTTGATGTTCAAAATGTGAGAATATTCCTCAAGAGTAGGGGCCAACTGATAGTTTTGAAAAGTGAAACATCTGAGAGGTGCATCATAGAACTGAGCCATAGCGAACAAAGCCCAAGTATCGACCCTAGAATGGAGGAGATCAAGCAATTTCCCATACTTCCCCTGAAAGTTGATCTTGATAGCCTTTGGTACGTCAATCAGAATGTCTTGAATTAGTTCCAGCTTTGGTTCTCTAAACTTGATGGAATTTGTGCTTCGCTTTCTTTGGTCAGTCATTGTATTCACCAATACCTGAGATAATCACAGTCTCTTAAGTCCCTCGATATGCGAGAAATGATATGCAATGCAATGTTTTATGAATGCACATGATAAAGAACACAAAACGAGATCAAGATCACTGGTCCTGCAAAACAACACAAAATATTTCTCCCATCGGGTGGGTTATCTATTGGTTTGTAAGAGGGCATCCCAAAGGCTTTTAAACAAAGTCCCATGCACTAGCCCTCGAAAGTTTTCCATCATAACGACTACTCGTAAGACGGTAATCCCTTCAAAGGATGAACACAGAGTCATGTCTCAGGAACCTTTGGAATAAGGTTCTACAAAGGTCCTCAGAGTCGCGGACTCCCACGTCGGAAATAAAGACGTCATTACGACTACACGTAAGACATAATCATTCCAACGGGGTCTCATCTGAGCGGTGGAATTCGATCCAACTCAACGAGTCCTAAGTCTCGCAAATCAGAAAGAACCCACCTCCTATCTTAGTGTGTACTTGAAAGCTCGGGTAGAAAGCCTTATCTCACAAACCATCCAAATAAACCCAACAGTTAGTGAACATAACATAATAAAAAATAAAAGCAAATAAAACACAAACACGACAAACAAAATAGGTCTGGCTCGCTAGGAGGGTCCCCAGCAGAGTCGCCAGCTATCGCTACTCGAAAAAATGCGTCGCGCAACGACGGGGAGGCGAAGAGAAAGGACAGAAGAGTCGCCACCGAACTTTATTTATCCCATGAGGGGAAAGGAAAATATCGAGAAAACCTTAAGAAAGAAATGGATAAGATGGTCTCGCGACCAAGAACGGGTTCGGAAGCCGGTTATGCGAGGGGAAGGTATTAGCACCCCTCGCATCCATCGTACCCGATGGGAACCTTTTGTTTGTCGATGTGTGAATTTATTTGCTTAAATATTATGTTATAAAAGTGTGCTAAAAGATAGAGAGAAGGGTTTAGAAACGGGGAAGGAGAGGTAACGGAGGGGAGAGGAGAAAGAACGGACTCGGTAGGACTTCGCAGTCCTATGCCTACGTATTCTCAACGGATATGAGAAAGTCAGAGTCGACGTAGTTCGGGGCTACGGATATGGGGGGAATGTGCTCGGCAAGGATTGTGGCCCTTGTGCCTACGTATCTTTACTTGAGAAAGTAAAGAATCAGAGAAGCCGTAGTTCGGCCTACGGTGTGTTGATGTTTTTTATGGATGACGTTATTGTGCGCATTCTAGCAGTTAGGTGTTTTGCTGCTCATTCGTTGGAGACTTAGGCATTACCTGTTTGCGGTAGAACGGACGTAACATATCCTTTTGAAAGATTGATTAGTTTTCGCCACGGGGGGCTAGAAGTCACATTTGATTGATTGGAATGTTTTTTTAGGGGGCGAGACAGGTCCTCGGATAGTAACCCCTACGGGTAGTACCCAATTCGTTATCTCAAAGTTTTTGTTATAAAAGGGTGTGGCGAACGAGGCGTCTTTGTATTGAAAGACGAGCGTCGAAGCCACCCTCACTACAGTGGGCATCCCAACGCTCGGAGAAGAAGAGGTCTACACCCAATCCTCTCTCTTTAATTCAATGCAAAGAGAACTTCATTCTCTTATTTAATTGTTTTTGGTTTTGAATGGTAAGTGCCTTGCGACAGAGAACCCTACGGTAAACGTCAACACTCGGGATAGGAGAAGGCCTACGCCTAACCACTCCACGACCATTCAAGTTTTCATCGTAAAAATGATTTGAAAATGCACTCGGTATGGGTCCGAGGTTTTAGGTGACGGAAAGAAGTTGTGACAGGAGGGGTGGTGGAAGAAGTCGCGTCTTCGTATTGAAAGACGAATATCGAAACCACCCTCACTACAGTGGGCATCCCAACATTCGGAGAAGAAGAGGTCTACACCCAATCCTCTCTTTTTAATTCAATACAAAGAGAAATTAATTTGGAAGATTTTCTGAAAAAAGGACTCGGTACGGGACCGAGGTTTTAGGAGGAAAAAGCGTTGAAAGAGAAGTGGTCTCAGATCCAACGTTTACAAGGAAATAAAATTTTTTTAAAACCACAATATACTTTACAAAGTTCTAACAAAACAAAAAGAGAAATGACATTCTAAATATATATAAGAAAACTCTTAAAATAAATAAGATAAGGTTCTTAAAACTTTAAAGAAAAAAATAAATAGAAAATTAGATATGTAAAGTAATCTAAAAATTATATAAGAAAACCTAAAGTAATATGTATATAGTATTTACAAAATAAATATTAAAATATTTACAAATAGATATTAGAATATTTACAATATATTAGAAAAAGAAATTTATATATCTATAACTTAAATTTACCAAAATAAAATTATAAAACTCTAAACATTTCATTTGAGATTCAATAAAATAATAGAAACAGAAAACAAAAGACATTAGATTGTGATGACCAAACAGAAAGATACAAACACGTATGCACTGGGGATATATGAACACAACCGTGGCACTTGTAAGCAACACACTCAGATTCGAATACCGCAAAATCAAAACGAAAACGTGAGCATGAAAACGCAATGAACAAAAGTCGAACTACCTCAAATTCGAAACTCCTTCTGCTTGGTTTCGACTTCTCACTCTTCTCCTTCACTTCCGTTTCTGTTCTTCTTTTGGCGGTGCGGCAGTGGATGGTTGATTATCGGAACGATGGCAGCTTGATTTCTGATGGTCTACAATCTCGCTCACCACGTGTTCGATGAAAGTACTGCTGTGGTTTGGATGCTGGTTGCAAAGTTTACAGTGAGTTTATGAGGTAGATGGATTGTTGAGTTGGGTTTGAAGTTGAGGTGGTAGTATGAGCTGTTCGAAAACGGTGTTCAAAGGTGAGGGAAATGAAACGAAGGTTAAGGTTGCTGCAAGAATGGGTGGATAATGAGGATGAAATTGGTGAAGAGTTTGGGGTGGCTGCTGCAATGGTTAGGGTTTCTCCTTTTTTTTCTACCAGCCTCCTTTCTGAATGAATGGTAACAAAATATATATGATGGGAGATTAGGGTTTTTTTTTATGTTTGAATCAAGATAGTGTATCATTTCTGCTAGCACTTTTTGATGCCCAGACCATGTCTTTCCATTTTAGTGAATCTGGCTCTGCTGTCCTATTTTCTTGTCTCTGAATTTCGTCTGTTTGTGCTGACTGTATCTTCTGTTATTTACTCATGATTTTCACTGTGGTAACACAACAATTTTACTGATACAAACTTGCTGATGTGGTATTTCTTCATTCTTAACTGAAAACAAACTCTTGGTCTGCTGAGAATGCTCTTCCTCTTTGTTATTATGGCTAGGGGCTGATTGGAGACGAAGTTGTTGTTGCAGAAGGTACACAATCTCCTGAGCCTCATCATCTTCCTCCCTGTATGCCTTTTTTGGTTCTTGGGATTGATGCGAAGAACGCCAGAAAGTTATATATCTCAAAAAAAATCATATTCTCCATTTCTAGGATACAGTTTCGTCACCATCTGGTGTCAATACCATTGATGCATGATAGAAATTACCGAGGACAACAAAACTGCTGTGTTCGAAATTGGATACTATCATTTGACGGAAAATAATTTGCAGAACCGCTGTGTTCTTCTTGAACAAATGTTTGAAGACGACGTTGTCTGTTCATGATAAGAATTGTTCGGATACAAAATTCTCCTTTTCCGTTTTGTTCGAAATAGAGAGTCTTCTGTATCTAAAACGTATGAAACCTTGGATGAATTGCAAGCAATCTTACATTCCAGACCATTGGTAACTTGTACTCCATCCATAATCTGGTTTGGAAATTCATCACTCCAAGCACATTTTAGCTTATTCCTTTTTAAGAAAATTCCGGATTTCTCCTTGCTGTCGGGGACAACAGATAAGAAGTCGTTGTGCAGATAGGCTGAAAAATTAGGATCTATTGACACAACAGTCACTTCAGGCTTATCGTGTCCGTAATCCATCAACTGAATAGACAATCGGGGCGGTGTAGACGAACACTCAATACGATATATGTTCTCATCATGAAGAAGAACACGTGCATTTTCATGATAAACTATATCCACAAAGCTTCCAGGTTTTCTTGATTGCTCATATGCATATAGTTGAAGAAGTTTGCTATCCATCTCATCAGTAGCAATGGCAACAGCTTGAAGCTGTTTAACAAGTTTATATATCAGCTTGTCTATCGTGAACAAGACATACGACTGAGTTCCAATAATAGCACGACAGTCATCTTCAAATTTTGAATTATCAGAAGAGCCATCCAGCAAACTGTAAAGAGAACTCATGAACCTGCCATATTGATCAGTAGAAACTGCATCATTTGAAGCTCTCCATTTTCTTTCAGCAGAGGATGAGTTTATCTTGGCTGATTGTATCCTCTCATACAATGTCTGATGAAGTCTAAACAGCACATAAAAGGAATCATTTCCATAAAAAATTTGAACATTCTTTTCTTTCCCGTGCACCACCGGGCAAACATGTTTTACCAGAGGCTTTACCGTGAGAAGAAAGCGTTCAGAGTATGACCCTTTGATGGGAAAAAACTTGAGAATCAGTGCTCAACAGAGTGCTAAATATATAAATAAGTGCAACATGATATCTATGGTGATCCTCTTCTTAAAATTGACACCATTGTTCACCGAGAACTGCTTGTTTTCTGCTTGGCCTTCTCAATGAGGGGCTTCAACTGCTTCTGCTTTGATATCTGGGTTAGGCAGGATTATCTCTGCCTCGTCCCTTGTCTCAGTAGGAATCATCTCCCCCGATACTGCCTCTACAGTTTTCGCTATTTTCTTTGCAGTTGTGGGCTTCTTGGTTTTACTAGCAGGACGCTTTATCGCTTGATGCTTTACTTTCAACTTTGAGGTTGGGTCTAACAGTGAAGGTGATTTTTGTTTTTCAGTTTCATTTGTGAATTTTTTAGGAGGCATTACTTCACATTTTTCATCAGGTTCAACTGTTTCTAACTTGTCTTCTGTTGAGGTGTCAAGTTTTTTTTGAAAGATGAACCAATTCCTCAGGAGCCATACCCAACTCAGATTCACATTTGTCATCTAGAGCCTCTGTTTCATCATCCAAAATATCAGTTCTGCCACCAGCATCTTCTGCATATTCACTAACCGCTTTTTGCTCCATCAATTTGTTAACATCAAGGACTGGGGGTGATGCCTGACGCTTCTTAGCACCAGAAGTTGTTATTTCTTTGCTTCCACTGGAAGAACTTAAGCCTTCATCTTGCTGCATAGTTTTATTCAAGCAAACTGAACTCTTCAGTTTAGCAGTAGCACCTTTTCTGGGTCTAGAACCCAAAGTTCTCTTGACAGTTGATTTCTTGCAGGGTGACCTTCTAACCAGCTTATCGTTTTCTTCATTGCTTAAATCCCAATCATCAAGACCAGCAAACCCTTCACTCTTTGACTTCTTTCCTGGTGATGAAAAATCAAGATTTGTAGTGATATTATGCTCCTCTTTCTCTTCCTCCTGTCTTTGGAAGATATTTTTCCTTTTTTCTACTTATATTTTTTTAGCATCAGAGCTATCATCAGATGATAAGGATTTCACTGACTTTTTCTTTTTGCCTATTGTTTTGAGTTGGTCCTACATTGAAATCAGTCTTCTGCAGGTTTGTAGTTTGAGCTTTGTTTACGAGTTTGTTCCGCAGGGTGACGCTCAACCTTAACCTGCTTTGAACTCATGTCTTAGACTACATAGTGGCCTGAGGTAATATACTTGACCCTTAATCTTCAGGCTATTAGTTCTGATGTGATAACCTTGCCCCGACAGAAATGTCTCAGCATATGTACTCAAACATTTCTTTCGCCATTCATTCCGACAAACATCTGATTAATATTTTCTCTGCTAACCTCTTTCCATTATTCTTTTTCATGTACGTGATGAGAGTATAAATCAACCTTGAAACTTGCCTTGCGGAAGATTGGACACGGTGGACTTAACACGGCGAAGAGGACTGGGTATGAAGAGAAAATCCACAGTTGCTCTTTAAGTCAAGGGCTTTATTCGAAGATGGAATTCAGTTTTTTATGGACTTCATAGACTCTGCAGAAGTTGGAATTCTGATCAAACAATTAAGTTATAATGAGCAGCAAATAGCTGTGATTATTCGCGGTTCCACAGCTGTGTGTACGCGACTCGAAGACTGATATGGTAGAGTCACATGTTGCTGCAGGCGTTTTTTTTTCACGGTGAGCTGGTTGGTGATATTTGTTGCGTTTCCACAATGTTGTACAGAACGGCTTGCTTTGATGTTGCGACTGGCCTTTGACTTCGCCGGTAAAAACAACACCCCCATTCCTTGTACAAAATTTTGTTAAAGTTTTATGACCCCTTGATTTGTTTGTTCTTCTTCTAAATCACAATTGTTGCTGCCTTAATTTTGTGATTGTGCAGGTTCTGCTGATGATCAAGTGGAGAAGTACGAGCTGTGTTTCGGTCAGAAGTGAAGCGCCAATTAAACCTGAACTTCGCAGATGAGCACTCAATTGAGCAGACGAGTTAGCAACACAGACCTGGATTTTCAAGTTCAGATCCAAACTTTCCAGCTCAATTTCACAACATAAAGCAACTTTTGCTTTTGTGATGGCTATCAACTCACAAGATGAGAAGGTGAGATATTAATAACGGGTCCTCTCGTCATTTTCTAATTGCAAACCGTCCATGCCTCTAAAGATACTTTCATAATTATTGACATGAGAAGCATCTCTTCCAGCCCGTGTTATTCTCTGAGGATCAGAAGACCCGATCGGTGAACTTCTTTGCTCACCCAAAATTCGGCGTGCTGGTCCAGGGCTAGCCTCAGCAGTGCATGTACGGACATCTGATTCAGCACCAACAAATGCACTACGGCTACTAGAAACAACAACTCACCTGGATGATCCATTTGACTGGCCCAAGACATTGGCACTTGAAAGAGTATTCAAAACGGGTCCTGACATTCTGCGCCTCAAGGAATCCACTGATACCAAACCAGGGGGTTGCCCTCCTTCTGCTCCTGTATGTCTGTCACTATACACAATTCAACAATGGAGCCAAGTCCTTCCATTAAGAGAGTCTGACAGATTCAGCACATCAAATATCTAGTCACAAATGTAGCCTGCCATTTCAAAACAATCGACTTAATCAAAATAAGAGCTCATGTAAAGCCTCACTCCAAAATTAAGAGGCCCAGCATCACCACCAACAGCATGAAGTGCAACTGGAATTGTTGAAAGAGGATGCACGGTGAGTGGAAAAAATGCAGGATTAATTTCAGTGTTCATGTCAGATGCAATAGAATCCACTCCCATCCCTTCATTTTGATTACAACAATTCATTTTAACTTTCAGGTCATACGGACAAGCAATCAATACAGCTTCTGACAATGCCCTCCATTTGTTAGTGGTGCCTCTCCTAAAAACACGCTTATTAGGAGATATGCTAAGCACCAGTGTGGATGTTGCCTCGAGCCACTCAGCAGTCAAACCTTCAACTTCATCATAATATATGCGCCTCTCAACCGCAAGCTTTTGAATATAAATTGACATGAACTTTGGGCCTAGTCCCAATATTCTTGCTTCTGATAGTAAGACCTTTTGCTGCTTCAGGATAAACCATATGTAAAGTCTATCACAGGCATCCTTAACATTTCTACTAGCTTTCTTCCTCTCGTTGCAATGATCAGCAATATCTGCAAGTATTCTAGCACTCGGAACGCTATGCTTCAAGGCTGCAGCTGATAAAGCTTCCCTACATTCAACAGATTCTGCAGCATTTTTATCAAAGTTGATGCCTGTGAAACATCTTTTCTTCCCTCCAACTTCCTTTCCCATCTGCTTCAAATAAATGTTTTCGGCCTCTATCGTAGCAAGTAGTGTCCGATGGACAACAATATCTGAATATCGACGTAAAGGTGATGTAAAATGAGTGTATAAAGGGACAGCAAGTGCATAATGACCCCACTCATGCTCATTATCCTTTAAATAACCACTACAGAAGTAAGAAGCCAACTGCATTGGCTTTGTAGCATAGGAAATAAGTATATCATTAAGCACAGGGTCATCCTTGAGCTTTTCCTTTATTTGCTCTAAGGACCGATGGATATGACCAGATGAAGAAGTCTCCAAATTTAAACCATGCTTCTGACAAAATGCAGTCAACTCTTTGAGCTTCCGCATATTAGGTTCAGGATGCCTCCGCAGTAGTGCAACTTCAGGATAAGCTCTACATATTACTTCAGCAGCTGTTGTATTGGCCAAAAGCATAAACTCCTCGATTAGAAAATTTGATTCTCTCTGTTCAGAAAATGTAATATCATAAGGGATGCCATTATCATCAATCAGAATAACAATTTTGGGGTTATCAAGCCGAAGAGCCCCTCTAGTAAATCTCTTGTGTTTCAACACCTTTGAAATTTCATAGAGACTCTTCAAAGAAGTAAGAACATCCGGCCAATCAAAACGGCCATGAACTTTAGGATAGGCATCTTCATGAAAGCTTGAACTCTCAAAATTGAAAGCACTATCAATGATGTCCTGCGCATGTTCATATGAAAGCTTGCAACAAGAATGAATAACAGTGCGACCAATCCAACGGTCTACAACATCCCCATCAACATTTAGATCCAAGAGCATGGAAAATGCTAGTCGATCCACTCCAGGATTAAGAGATCCAATATTTTCTGTGATTAATGTAGGTAACATTGGTATCTTCTTTTGCAACATGTAAACACTAGTTGACCTAAACCGAGCCTGATCATCTAAAAAAGTGTCTGGTACTACAAAGTATGATGCATCAGCAATATGGATGCCTACTCTATAATTTCCATTACACAACTTCTCAATTGACAGTGCATCATCCAGATCAGTTGCAGATTCGGCTACTTTGGGTCACAAGTCCTCATGGAAGGAAAACTGGATTTGGGCACTTGTAATAGGTTCGCCGTTGGTTTGACAAAAAGAACTTGTGTTTCTATGGCTTGTGAAATTCTCGTGTGGGCCTTGTAAATAAAATATCAACAACTTTGATAACCTCTTGTAATAACCATCAAATGGTATATTTTTCTACAAAATGTGTAACAAGCCTTTTCCCTCATTGGATGATTTTATTTATGAAACAGGCTTATAAAAGCAATGATCCTCTAGGATTCTTTTCCTTTGCAAATTTCATGACGGACTTGGCACGTAATTTGGGCTTGATGCTAGTTCATGGCTTTGTGGATTTGCAAATATAATAATGGAATCCTAATTTGAACTATAGTTTCCTTTATGTCTTGATATTTACTATTTGCATC